CCGACCCCCCCCCCCCCCCCCCCCCCCCCGCCTCCCCCCCCCCCCCCCCCCCCCCCCCACGCCCCCCACCCCCCCCCCCCCCCCCCCCCCCCCCCCACCCCCCCCCCCCCCCCCCCCCCCCCCCCCCCCCCCCCCCCCCCCCCCCCCCCCCCCCCCCCCCCCCCCCCCCCCCCCCCCCCCCCCCCCCCCCCCCCCCCCCCCCCCCCCCCCCCCCCCCCCCCCCCCCCCCCCCCCCCCCCCCCCCCCCCCCCCCCCCCCCCCCCCCCCCCCCCCCCCCCCCCCCCCCCCCCCCCCCCCCCCCCCCCCCCCCCCCCCCCCCACCCCCCCCCCCCCCCCCCCCCCCCCCCCCGCCTCCCCCCCCCCCCCCCCCCCCCCCCCCACCCCCCCCCCCCCCCCCCCCCCCCCCCCCACCCCCCCCCCCCCCCCCCCCCCCCCCCCCCCCCCCCCCCCCCCCCCCCCCCCCCCCCCCCCCCCCCCCCCCCCCCCCCCCCCCCCCCCCCCCCCCCCCCCCCCCCCCCCCCCCCCCCCCCCCCCCCCCCCCCCCCCCCCCCCCCCCCCCCCCCCCCCCCCCCCCCCCCCCCCCCCCCCCCCCCCCCCCCCCCCCCCCCCCCCCCCCCCCCCCCCCCCCCCCCCCCCCCCCCCCCCCCCCCCCCCCCCCCCCCCCCCCCCCCCCCCCCCCCCCCCCCCCCCCCCCCCCCCCCCCCCCCCCCCCCCCCCCCCCCCCCCCCCCCCCCCACACACACATGCGACAGCAGCCTGTCAGCTCCATTGTATACACGGGCTTGTGGTGCGCTTGTTTCACTTGTGCACTCTCCAACTGCATCCATCTCTCCGCCTTCCGCCCCTTGTCCGTCCTGTCAGTGTGGCTGCATTAGACAATGCAGCAGAGACACCTGAACTGCAAGCCCTCCCGATTGGGGCCAAGGTAACCTCCCATCATACTGCTGACACAGTAGGCAGTTGCACTAGCATTAAACCCGCAATGGTGTTTCTTTGTGCCTCCTGATTCCCTGCTCTCACCCTGTTTCTTCCTCACCTTACACGAGCAGCCTTGAGACTTCGCTTCTCTCAGTTCTGTTCCCTTTTCTCACCTTCCGCTCACCCTTGTCACGCCCAGGTGTCAGTAATAGGCAACGCCGTGTGTGGCAAGGGCGAGGGGAGTGAGAGGGACAGCAGCTGCAGTGTGGCCTGTGACAAGGCGTGTGAGGGAGCGATGAGGAGGCATGGGGAGGTGGTACTGCGGTCGACAGGCTACACCGTCGAGGATGCTGATGCTGCCAAGGCTGTCAGGCAGTGCTCCTCCCAGTGCATGCGAGAATGTGAGCCAGCCGCTGTTCAGTTTCGTTAAACATCTCTCGAAGGGCTTTCGTAAACTATTCAGGTTAAGCTCCTATCAACGACTTCGTCTACCCCCCTCTCCTTTTCTTGATTCTTGCAGGCACCAAGGCCGGACGCTTTTCATCTTTTGTAGCCCCATTTCGCTTCTGATGTGGGTCCGTCCTGTCTTGACATAGAATCCTCCGCCAATCTAGGTACCACATGTGCAAAATATGACTTCAAGATCATTCAATCTGACCCTTCACAACCAACATTAGGAAACAGAAAAGAGTTGCAACAAAAAAAAAAATCATAATGTTGAAGTGGGGATTCCGTGATACTGATTTGTATTGTGACAACTTCACAGCCCAGGCTATGCAGCGTTTTATGTGACTCTCATCATGGACCAAGTTTCAGGTGATAAAATTGGCTCAGGCTAGGTGTACAGAACGCGTTTGATGGTACGCAACAGTGGGCCGTGCCGTAACGAAAATGCCCCGATAATGCCGATTTGCAAGGCATGTGCTGTCCGACCCAGTCGTGGCCCGTGGAGTAGACCGGCCTACCCTAGGTTCTGAAGTCTAGAAACTTGAAATGGCCCGCCGTCAGGGACACTGTTGTTGGTAATCGTTCAGGGCAGTTTCTTCAAACTTGCAACCTGAATACCTTGAAATTTCATTTGAGAGTCAAGCCTGTGTGAATGGCCACGAAACTTGTGTTCCCAATATTTGTAAGTGCTACATAATCTGAGCTGGTGGCTCAATACTACTGTAATGTAATGTACACCAGGGGCAATTCAAGCTGCTGGTGTTGCCCGTAATCCAGGGCTGCGTTGAATTGCCTTCGTTAAAGGTTAAAGGAGGGGGGGAAACCCCTCTGGGTGTTAACCACACCTGGCTGTCGGTCGTAACCCGCCTCCCCATTTGTTTACACTCCTCGCTGGGTCAACGAGGTTGTTCTATCCACTCCCAGATGAGCACCTGTGTAGCCCCTTTTGGGGGCTGGCAGAACACGCCGCAGGGGGGATTTGATCCCGAGACCTCATCTTTCGGAAGTGAACTAGCTACACATGATGCCCGGTTGAGCCCCCCAACTTTGGCCTACCCCATGTGCGTATAAGTGATTCTGCATTTTGCGGTGGTTTCGTCAATTCGCATCGGGCAAAAAGGGCTTATATAAAAATTTTGTAACTCACCGTTGACTGTTTGACTGCAGTCTCATCAGTCAGACTTCCGTTTCTGTGGCTCTTATTGGTCGACGTGCTTGTAACGTAGGTGCAACTTCGCGGCAAGAAACCCACGGGTGCAAGGTTTCTGGAACATGAAGGAAATTTCGCGTGCAAGGTTTGGGCATCGACTGTACTCACTGGGCCACTTCACTGGGCTACTCTCTTTTGAATTGCCTTCGTGTCACAGCTGCGCAAGAAATGTGTGCATCTTGTTTGTTCGGCGCGCGCCCACGAGATCCCCACCGACCAGCACAGCGCTACCCATCCTTCCCCCTTTCCCAAACCTTCGAATTTTCAAGCCTCACACCACACGTAAAACCTTAGAACATCTTTTGAACCACATTTCATCCCTCTTTATGAGCGCCACGTTATCTCCGCTCCGCCACTACCATTTCAATCGCCGCCGCCACCGCTCCGCGCTTCCACCAGCCCTTGAGGATGAAATGGAATTCATGCCAAGTGTAGTACTGTGTACGACGAATGCTACCTCTCCTCTCCTGCCTTCACCAAAAGAACGCGGCTTCTGCAACACAAACATAATGCATGTTGGTTTCCATATCTCGCGACGGGACACCTCGCATCCTTCCATAACAATCCCTCTTCCCGCGTTAGTAGATTGAACTCTTGACGCTCCTCCATAAAGCACTCCGCCTCATTTCCACTTCCGCAGTCCGCGGCCTCGGCAAAAAAAATCACGTTGGAAGAAGCAGACGAACCTTCCCAGCCTCTTGCTCGCTCGTCCCGCCATGCGGCGGCGCAACGGCTCGGCGCGCATCATTCCTTCACGCCGCAACGCCATGAACCTCTCCCCGCATTCCCCGCGGGGAGGAAGCTTCCTCCTCCTCTTCTCGCTACTCTCCGCCCTTCTGCTCCCCGCCCTCATCCCGCGGCACACGCGTCGCTCCGCTCGCAGGGCCTTCTCCCCGGCCCCTCCGCACTTCCCGCCGGCACTACCACTGCCACCGCCGCAGTCGGCAGCGCCGGAACTGGCGCCGTAGGCGGAACCGCTGCCCAGCAACGCGCGGTGGCGCGGCCGATGGGGCTCATCGGCCGGTTGCGCAAGTGGTGGAAGAAAATCCGCGGAAAGAAGCCGCCGACCAGCAGCGCGCCCATGGGCGCGTGTCAGAAGTCGTCGCTCAGCGGATTCACGTCGTCCGTGGACCTCTCGGGCACAGGGTGAGTGGGCGCCTCGTGAAAACGAATCGTATTGGTTTGTATTGTATTGTATCGTATCGTGTCATGTCGTACCGTTACGTACCATATTAAATCGTAGCGCACTTCTTTGATGAGCCACCGTCGGCCCCTCATTCCGCCGTTTCCGAAGGGGAGAGTCTCCTCACCCCCTCACCCTTCATCCCCGTTCCCTCCCCCGCCCAAACGTGACCACCCCCGGGCCCACTTCCATCCTCCCCCCACCCTCTCCCTCTCCTCCCCCGTTCCCCCTCTTCCCCACGATACAGTCTCATTCTCCACTGGAACGTGGTGGCGGCGGGCGGCACGCAGCTGGACATGGCGCTAGAAGCCAAGGGCGCGACGCTGGCGGGCGGGTGGTTCTCCGTGGGGTGGTCGCCGGACGGCAGCATGGTGGGCAGCGACGCGGTCATCGTGACGCCGGGCGGCACGCCGGAGTACGACGCGTATGTGATGACGGCGCAGACCACGGCGGGCGTCGCGACCACCACGACGTTCACGCTCGGCACCGCTCCGAGCTTCACTGTCAACGCCGGGACGAACGCCGTGCTCACGTGAGTGGATGTTTTTTGAGTCAACTCATAAATTGACTTATCACGCTCGGCAGCGTGCCGAGCTTCACGGTCAATGCTGGGACCAACGCCGTGCATGCTCACGTGAGTCGACGGTGGTGGTGGCGGTGATGGCGGTGGTGACGATGGGGATTACCATGTTGGGCTGTTGTTGATGCTGTTGGTGATGACGGGCATGTCATTGGCTCTCACTGTGGTGTGGGAATGTAGCTCCCGCGTTTCCCTTCCCACTTCCCCCGTCCTCCTCGTGTTTGCTGCTGCTTCTTCTACTTTATCGTTCGTATACGTACCCTATGCGCATTCCACCTTCCGCATCCACTCCACGCTTACCTCTCCTCCCCATCCCTCACCTTCCTCCGCCTCCCCCTGCCGCTGTTCCCACTCCCCTCCTCTGCACCCACTCCCTCCCCTCTCCCCACCCCCGCAGCTTCTCGCGGTCGACGGGCGACGGGGGAGCAGTGCCGGTGAACGTGGCGGGGAGCAACTACATGGTGTGGGCCTACTCGGCTGACGGCACCGCCACACTCGACAACCACGGCCCCGACAACCGGTACGCTCTCTGCTCTGCTCTGCTCCGCTCCGCTCTGCTCTGCTCTGCTCTGCTCTGCTCCGCTCTGCTCTGCTCTGCTCTGCTCTGCTCTGCTCTGCTCTGCTCCGCTCCGCTCTGCTCTGCTCTGCTCTGCTCTGCTCTGCTCTGCTCTCCTTGGCACGGCACGCCTTGCAAAGCAGCAACTCATGCGTCGCACGTGCAATCACATCCCACACGCTACCGACAAACCCATCTCACCCCTCTCCTCCTGGCCCTGGCTCCTCCTATTCCTCCCCTTCCTCCCGTCCCTCCTGTGCCTCCCATTCCTCTCCTTGCGTGCGCCCACCAGGGGGAGTCGCAGCATCGACTTCACGTGTGACGGCACCAAGGTGGCGTCCATGTGCCCCGCCTCCACGCTCACGGGCTATGACTACCAGACCAACCTCGGCGGCAACAAGTGAGCACGCACACGCCGCACGCACGCCGCATGCACGCCGCACACACGCCACGCACACGCCGCACACACGCCGCACACACGCCGCATGCACGCCGCATATACGCCCACGCGCTTCAAATTGGAATGCTTAGCTGAAGTTGCCCGCATGCACTCCCAGCCTCCCTCTCCATCCGCTCAAAGCCCATTGCGTCTCTTCCATTGCCCGATTGATCAGAAATTCCCTCGCGCATCTCCTTTCTTTTCTCTCTCCTCCTCATCCCCAAAAATCCCACCTCCTGCTTCCATTCCTGGTCCAACATCTCCCACCCTCTAAATCCCCCCTTCCCCCTCGTTTCCCACCCTTCTTCTCCCTCCTCCCCGCCACACCTTCCTTCTCGTCCCCTTCCCACCCCCACCCCCACCACCAGTCTCATCATGCACTGGAAGGCAGCAGCAGCGTCCGCAATCGACTTTGCCCTGGAGGCCAAGGGCACAGTCGCCAGCGGATGGGTGTCCATGGCAGTGGGGGCGAGCTCTCGCATGTCACCATCCAATGCCGTCATTGGCAACCTGGCGGCCGGGGCCGTGGGCGCGTATGCCATCACGTCTACCAGTGCATCAGGAGTCAACCCGGGGAGTTTCTCCATCGGCACTGCTGCCACCACCACCTCTCCGTCCGGCTCCACGCTTGTCACGTGAGTTGGCGGGTTTGTTGGGGGAGGGGGGTTTTTGCTGTCATTGGCAACCTGGCGGGCGGGGCCATGGGCGCGTACACCATCACTGCAACCAGCGCATCGGGGGTCAACCCGGGGAGTTTCTCCATTGGCACTGCTGCCACCACCACCTCTCCCTCCGGCTCCACACTTGTCACGTGGTTTGCTGAGAGCTTGTTGGGATAGAGCCAGCAAACCTGCAGCGGGTTCACCCCGCTGCCGCCACCACCACTTTGCCGTCCCTCCCTCCCTCACTTCGCATCAGCCTCGGGCGCACACAGAGGTTTCGGCACACTCACACTCGCTACTGCTCAACACCTTCCCATGACACGGCCATACCCCATTCAGCTTATTTCCTCCCCTCCTTCCCTCCCTCTCCCACTCCCTCCCGTCCCCTACCTCCCCGCTTTCCACCCGCCCGCACGGCACATCAGGTTCACGCGCACGCAGGGATCGGGGCGCATCAACGTGAACGGCGTGAACAACATCCTGTGGGCCTACTCCAGCTCGCAGTCACAAGCACTCACCACCCATGGCGGCAACAAGTGCGTTGGTTGCTGGGATCGGAAGGGTAGGGATGGGGAGGGGATGGGAGGGCTGGGAAAGGATGGGAACGGGGTGAGGAACATTCCTTGGGCCCTCGCAGTCACAAGCCATCACCACTCACCGCGACAACAATGCTTTTTTTTTTTTTTTTTGTTTCCCCAATAATCCTTCTTGCACACTGCTGTCCACCATACTCCACCACTCGCTCTTTCCCTCTCTGCTTCACAATGCATTCCCCGCACTTCTCCCGCTCATTCATGTGTGTTGCTTTGCTGGCTCTGCCTTGCGGGTGGGTGCCTCCACAGGGGATCAGTGCTAGTGGACCTGTCGTGCCGCACCGCACCAAGCCCGAGTGCGTGAAGCGCAAGACCTCACACTTCCACCTCTCCTTGTGTGTTTCTCTGTTTGTGCTGCTCTCTGTGTCTCGTGATGCCGCAGGGGGTCCCTGCTGATCGACCTGTCGTGCCGCACCAAGCCCAAGTGTGTGAAGCGCTTGATCCTCTGGTGGAAGTGCAAGCGCAACGGGGGGGGGTGATGACGATGATGACAACGGCGGCGATGGGGGAGGGGACGATGATCATCACGACAGGCACCACTGAGAGGGAAAGAGAAGGAGAGAGGGGTGAGGGGCATCACCTCGGCCACCATTGACAAAAAGGCATGTTCTGTGCTGCTTTCAGGAGGCCTTTTTTCCAATGGTGGTGCTGTGGTGTGTCGACAAAGGTGCCTGTGAGGGGTCTGTTTCATGGACGTCGATAGCAGACATTTTTTGTCTGTTCGGCTTATCATCAGACATACTTTTTTGGATTCATCTGATGGGCCGGTCTGCATCAGACAAACTTTTTTTTTTTGCCCGGGGGACCCGTCTGATGCATCAGACACCCCTCAGACCCCAGCAACGACCCTGGTCTGTTTATGGTGTGGCGTATGTAGAGGGTTGTGCTGTTTTGCGTGTCATGAAACCGGGATGTAGAGAGGGTCAATGCCTTATTGACCACGCTGGTCAATGGTGGTGATAGTGGATTTATTGGCTGGCTGATTTTTCGAAAAGTCTACACCGTTGGGCTCCGAGCAAAAACGCGCTAAACCAGTCACGTACATTAGCGATCAGCAATGGTTACATGACATACAGTGACAGCTGTTGCAACGGTGTAAGGAATTTTCTGTATTCTTTACTGAAGCACTCCATACGCGTACAATTCCAACTTTTCGGAGTTCAGGCTCGGTCCGCCAACCTCGCCTTTCGAACGTCCTTCTCGTCGCCTTCGGGTTTCCCAACCCCAAACCTGCACCCAACCTTCGCGCGACTCCGCGACCTCGGCCTAGCTAGCTTTGCTATATTATGTCTAGGCATCGTTGTTTGCTCAGTAGTTGTACGGTATTCATTTCTACGATATTGCATTCTGCGCACTCTTCTTTCGTACAACTCATAACACTTGGTATCAGAGCTACTTTCCTAGGTTACCCTCCACTTTTCAAGGTAGTTTAGTGCAGGGGTGCGATAGACTTGGTGGGCTGCAAAGCGGTCGGCTGAGAGATAGATACGCTTATCTCGCTCCAACTAATAGCGTTTGAGCCTTCATCAAAATCATAAAAATTGTTATAAACACGCTGTCCGTTAGGATAAGACTCCAAAATATGACGCAAGCAGAGTTTGACGCTTTCGTGCGTTTTTTTCGGGCGATGCAGTCCAACATGCAAACCATGTCAAACATTATATGTGTTGTGCTTGTTTAGGCTACAGTGGGTTAGCCTATAGGGGGTACACAATTCTAGGGTTAGGTACTTGTACTCGTTTCACTGCTAGTTCATTCATTCCTCGTTCAGTTATTCTGACATGGTTTCAGAGCAGGTCCTTCGCTAGGACCTAAGTTTTTTTTTTCCGGGCCCACCTCTACTACCTACTTCCTACCTACTGTCGGAGTGCTGCGTTAGCGCCTCCCCCTCAGCGCCCTCGTGCGCCCTCGTGTACGGCCCCTTAAGGCCCCGTCGACCCCGCACGCTGCCCCTGTTGGCCCCGTCGCACCCGCGCGCGCCCCGATTCCGGCCCGCTTGGCCCCGTCGACCCCGCGCGCACCCCGTTTAGCGGCCCCGCGGCCCCGTCGACCCACCCTAGAGGCCCCTCGGCCTCGTGCGCACCCCGTTTAGCGGCCCCGCGGCCCCGTCGACCCACCCTAGAGGCCCCGCGGCCCCGCGCGCACCCCGTTTAGCGGCCCCGCGGCCCCGTCGCCCCACACCTAGAGGCCCCGCGGCCCCGCGCGCACCCCGTTTAGCGGCCCCGCGGCCCCGTCGACCCTCAACTAGAGGCCCCGCGGCCCCGCGCGCACCCCGTTTAGCGGCCCCGTGGCCCCGTCGCCCGCCACCTCACGGCCCCGCGACCCTCCTGCGCCCCGCTTAGCGGCCCCTCGGCCCCGTCGAGCCCCGCTTAACAGCTCCGCGCAACCGAACCGAGCCGCGCCGCCCTACCTGAACCGAGCCGCGCCGTCAGACCGAGCCGCGCCGCCCGTACCAGCAGCCCCGTCGATACTGCTGCTCCTCCTATTTCTTCTACGGCTACTACTACTGTTCCTACTGCAACTACTGCTGCCACTATGGCCAGTCCTCCCGTACTTGCTTTCGATGCTGAGGGCCGCCCAGTGAAATTTGACACCTGGCTAGATGACCTGCACCTCTTCCTACAGCTCACTGCCAAGGAGGATATTTCGCTGTACGATCATGCCCTCGGTCACGCTACTGCCCCTCCTACCACTGCAGACAGCACTCAGCGCTCACAGTGGCAGACTCGTGACGCCCACGCTCGCTTCGCTATTCGCAACTCCCTGCCACTAGATGAGCGCGAGCACTTTGGCCAGCACAAGACTGCTAAGGACCTGTACACTGCTGTCGTTGCTCGTTACTCCTCACCTGCCTCTGCCGCACTAGGCCGCCTCACCCTCCCATACCTGTTCCCCGACCTGGCCTCCTTCAGCACAGTCGCTGACCTCATCACCCACCTCAGGACCAGTGAGGCCCGCTTTCGCGCTGCTATGCCTGACGAGTTCCTTGCCACCAACCCCCCCCCGCTCTGGATCACACTCTACCACATCGTCACCCGCCTCCCTGACTCTCTGCGCGCAGTCAGGGATCACTTCCTCGCTCGCTCTCCCACTGAGCTCACCATTGCCCTCCTCGAGAAGGAATTGCTTGCAGCTGAGGCGAGCATCGTCGCTGTAGGCACCTCTCGTGGCGACCCCCGCACCCCGTTCTTTGAGGGGTGTTCCCCTTCCCCTCTCCTCCCCTCTGTCGCCTCTGCTGCTGCTGTCGACCTCCTTGGTGCTGAGAAGGTCGGGGCTGTGTCTGCTCCGAGCGGCCGCCGTAGGGGCAAAGGGGGCAAGGGTGGAGGTGGCGGCGGGGGAGGCGGGAGTGGTGGCGGTGGGGGTGGCGGTGGGACTGGAGAGGCTAGTGGCGGCAGTGGGGGTGGTGACAGCAGCGGCGGGAGCGGTGGCAGGGGCGGAGGCGGCAGCGGAGGCGGAGGTGGTCGTGGCGGCGGCAGGGGTGGAGGTGGCCGGGGCGGTGGCGGCGGCGGTGGTGGTCGTGGAGGCGCTGGCGGTGGACAGAGTCAGCAGCCCGCCCCGTCGCTTCAGGCCGCCCGTGAGTGGTATGCGCAGCGTGGCTTTACCTGCACGTACGTCATTCGCACTGGTGACCGCACTGGCCAGCAGTGTGGGAGGCCGCATCCCACACAGCGCTGTTTCGCGCGCCTTACTGACGCGTGGCGTGCCCAGTTTCCTGATGCCACTGACCTGCCCCACTGGGCTGATCTGGAGAAGAAGGGAGTTGATATCTGGGCTTTAGACTTTGATGCTATTCTCACTGCCATGTATGCGATGTTTACTAGTGGAGAGGGTGCTCAGTACTTGCGTGTTCCGCCCGACCCGGGCATTCAGACTAGTCCGGCTGCCGCTCTAGGTGCTAGTGAGTCTGCTGCCCCAGGTCCTGGTGAGGCTGCTGCTCTAGGTGCTAGTGAGTCCGTGCCCTCTGGTACTGAGTCGACTGCAGCACTGCACACCTTCACACTGGACTCAGGTGCTTCTCGCTGTTTCTTTCGTGACCGCACTGTCCTTGAGCCGCTTGCTCGGCCAGTTGCTGTCTCCCTCGCTGACCCCTCTGGGGGTCCGGTCGTTGCGACCTCCTCCACTGTCCTTCCTTGTCCTGCGGTCCCGTCAGGCACACTGTCAGGCCTCTACCTCCCCTCGTTCTCTACGAACTTGGTGGCAGGTAGTGCGCTCCAGGACGGGGGTGTTCACCAGTTCACCCCTGCTTACGAGCGCGTGACCCACTGCACGTGTGCTCGGACGGGCCGTCACCTGGCTACCTTCACTCGGCAGCCAGGGTCGGACCTGTACACACTGACCACTGAGTCCCCTCAGGTAGCTGCGTCCGCGTCTGCGTCTGCGTCAGGTCAGCTGTCCGCCCCCTGCTCGTGTCGCTCTCTGGCGCATGAGACTGTCCTCTGGCACCACCGCCTTGGTCACCCGTCTGTGCAGCGCCTTCGGGCCATGCACAAACGGGACCTTGTTGCTGGTCTTCCCAGGGTTCTCCCTCCCCTCCCACCCTCGCCTGCTCCTCCCTGTCTTCCCTGTGTCGAGGGGCGGCAGCGCGCCGCTCCTCACTCCTCCTCCTTCCCCCCGACGACTGCTCCTTTGCAGACGCTCCACATGGACGTGTGGGGCCCAGCCCGCGTCCGTGGTCAGGGTCAGGAGAGGTACTTCCTGATTGTTGTTGACGACTTCTCGCGCTACACCACGGTCTTCCCCTTGCGCACCAAGGGTGACGTCCCTGATGTCTTGATCCCTTGGATCCGCAGATCTCGTCTCCAGCTCAGTGAGCGTTTCCGCTCCGACTTCCCTGTCCTGCGTCTGCACTCTGACAGAGGTGGGGAGTTTACCTCTGGCCTCTTGGAGGCCTTCTGTCAGCAGGAGGGCATTGAGCAGTCGTACACGCTTCCGGCCTCTCCACAGCAGAATGGGGTTGCTGAGCGCCGCATTGGCTTGGTCATGGAGGTCGCTCGTACCTCCTTAGTTCATGCGGCTGCCCCCCACTTTCTGTGGCCGTTTGCAGTCCGATACGCTGCGCATCAGCTCAACCTCTGGCCCCGTGTCTCCTTACCGGAGACCTCTCCGACACTGCGTTGGACGGGAGAGGCTGGCGATGCGTCGCGTTTTTGGGTCTGGGGATCTCGAGCTTTTGTTCGCGATACGTCCGCGGACAAGCTCTCCCGTCGAGCTGTCCCCTGTGTCTTCCTTGGCTTCGTCCCGGACGCGCCTGGTTGGCAGTTCTACCACGCCACCTCGCGTCGTGTCCTGGCCTCTCAGGACGTCACTTTTGACAAGTCCGTCCCCTACTACCGCCTCTTCCCCTACCGCACTGCCCCGCTCCCCCCCCCGCCTCTCTTCCTCGCTCCAGGTGCTGA